AGGAGTTAGACCTAGGTCTATGCCTAGAAAGTGTAACATTTTTGTTTTCAGGTGGCATTATCAGAGGGAGAGTTTCTTAGCATTTCCTGGCCAAAATCAAAAGTCTTAAAATTGCAAGACCATATTATTATAGTTCTTCTATTGCAGACATGAACTGACACTATCTTTTCAACAGTTATTTAGGGAGACCCACCATATGATTTTTATATGTGTGTGTGTATGATTATGTGAATCTAAAGGAATGTGAGAAACGATTGGTAATGGCATAATTTGTGTGGGTTGCTTGGGGATACTTACAAAAACAGGCTGATAAGAACCATTGGTACGGTAGACAAAGCAAAAGCCCAGAAGGCTTTTTTTCTGTTTTAATCCTCATTCTGACAGGGACTTGATGTGAGGCCTTTGGGTAAATCACTTGATCAATGTGTCTGTAAAATGGGGATATTTATTTCCGTGATTTTAAAAGAATGCTGTGAGAACAGGTTAGTCAATCCTATACATTAACATTTACTGTTAATTGCAAGTGTTATTATGTAATAGAACTAGTCTTCACTGGCACCTAAAACTACTGGAGACTCAAATACAGTCCTAAAATTTAAGGGTGACTGAGGTGTCAGCAAGAATGGAGATGATTAATCCTGTTGATTTTTGTGGAGTTGATTTCACTCTAACTCCGGGAACTGAATATCAAAGATAATCCTTCATATTTTGATAAATCCTACTGTACATCTGCTCCTGTGCAGTAATAGGATGAAAGGAAATACCGAGGGGAGTAAGTTTGGTTCACCTATATGTATTTGGGACTGGTAATGGATCACGGCAGCAGCCAGATGCAATAAAGAAATGATATTAGAAGACCCAAAAATATTAATTCAAGCCTCAGTTCTTTGATGCAGGTACAGAGAGGTGTTCTGAAAGGTGAAAGAGCACTTCATATATGAGGGAATTAAATGCATCATTACCATTCTCAACCCAATTAACATTCTTGCTCTTTAGGATTAAATGAGGTCTCCAACTGGCCTGTTAGGCATAGAAGGGAGGAAAAAAAAGTTCATCCTGAGGGTGAACAGGATAAATTTAATGATGCAGAATGAAGGAGATTAAGAAATGAACTATAATAAACTGGCATTGTCTGTGAGCTATTTTTTTTTCATGAACAGATTGAGAACCATTTTGCCCAGTGCTACAGCAAAGCCTCCTCTCAATCTTCCTGAATATAGTGGAAAAGAAGCTGTTTTTGAGGTGGCAATAGAACAAGGCCTTTACTTAAGTAATTCCTTTTGGCATCTATGATGGCATCAAATATCATTCAGTTACAAAATATTTAAGCTATTACACTAGTTATAAACAGTTTGCTAGAAGGGGCTTATATTTTAATGTTACTAGTTATGTTAAGTAGCACCTCAACTGCAAGTAGCTTCCACTGACTTCAGTGGAAGAATTTTTTGGAATACAGAGAGCAAGGGAGATATTGTCTGCATTTTTTTTTATAAATGCTAAAGTTTCCTCAGTTTGCTTGCCTGCCTTATCATGTCTAATTTCATGTAGTTAAATCAAAGGGACATGCAAGCAGGAAACTAAACAATGAGTGGAGATAACATATTTCCAAGGAAAATATCAAAGGTCCTTAAGAGAGCAATGGTAGCATTATTAATTGGGAAATGCCAACTTGGTTATGGCACTGCATATTGATAGCTTTGTTTTCTAACCTAGGGCCATAAGAGCAATGGGATATTAAGCCATTAAAAAATGCAGCCTGGAGAGGAAGGGGGAGGTGGGTGAAGTAAGCGGCCAGTATCTGGATAGCAGGGATGGCAAAGAACGCAGTAGTGATGTGGACCTGAGACAGAGGCTTTGCAGGATGGCTAAGAAAGCTGGGTTCGCATGTGCTTTATGGCCAGACCCAGGTGGGCATGACTTTTTGATTATAGGCA